CCCCCCCCCCGCAGGGTCTCTTTTAAGCTGCAGACAGTTAACCTCCATTAGCAAGCATTAGCAAATTTTATTTATAAAATAGAGGCAATAAACTTTGAAGTCTAGATCTATAATCTATTGAACCATTTGTTGAACCATTTAAAATGTAAAATTATACACTAGCATGATGAAATACCACAGATAAATTACATTTAGGCAGGCAAGTACTCGAGATGACTTAAACCTCCTTTCTCCTATCACCATCATAATGTTATTAAGATTATTGCTCATTCTATCTCCTAATGTTTTCTGTATTTCCTTCTTTGAAGTGTCACTTTAGGGCAGGGCACAGTGGCTCAAGCCTGTAATCCCAGCACTTTGGGAGGCCTGAGACCAGAGGATTGCCTGAGCTCAGGGGTTCGAGACCAGCCTGGGCAACTTGCAACTTGGTGAGACCTCGTCTCTACAATAAATAAATTAGCCGGGCGTGATAGCGCACGCCTATAGTTCCAGCTACTTAGAAGGCTGAGACGGAAGGATTGCTGGAGTCCAGCAGGTCAAAGCTGTGGTGGCCATGAGCATGCCACTGCACTCTAGCCTGGGCGACAGAGTGAGACACCCACTCAAAAAAAACCAAAACATTTCACTTTAGCTCATGTTTATGTTTTGTCCTGCCTGGATATATAAAGAAGGGAAGCTGTGAGAGAAAACTTTTAAGGACAAAAATTCTTGGAGGTGAATTGAACCTAGAACATAGTCTGAGAAGATTCTTAGGCCTATTTCCACAGGATGTTTCCTTTAAATCTTGTAACTGGGACAATTCTTTTTCTGAGGAGTAATATACAGCTATTCTTTTTTTTGTAACAAATTTCATATGTGAGGTGAAACTAACCCAGAGTCCATGGTGATTCACAAAAGGGTGGTCATGGCCCTGTATTCCTGGAAAGGGTGGCTCCAAAAGAACATCCTGTTTATGCCTCCTCCCAGGTAAGGAAGGCAGTTCCTGTAACAGGAGCTCAGACTCCCCAGCTGGAAAAATCCTACCAGCAACCTGAAAGGGACATCCAACAGAGATTTCTGGTTTGGGCTTGGAAACTAACTACCCAATCAGGACTCAATTGCCTTCAAGGATTTGGGACTGAACTAGTTTTAATTATTCACTTACATATGTGAACCTGATTGAGGGGTAGGAAGTTTCCCTAAAAAGCCAGATCCATTTTTCTTCTCTTGTGCATGCTTTTGATTTACATCAGAGGCTGTGTCGCCCCATTTGCAGATTGATTCTTTTTCAAAATAAAGCTTCCCATTGTTTTGTTAACATTTGCCTGATGACAAGGATGGCATCTGGAATGGCCCCCCGCATTCCTTCCCCACACTATCAGGACTGCTGGAACATCTTATTTGTTCAGTTGTTTCCTGACCCTGCTGAGAAGGAGATTCAGGTAAGCCCTCTTGGATCCAAGATCTCCTGATTTAGATTGAGCTCTGAAAACTTTTTCTCCAGGGAGCCTGTTTATCTGCCTCCACTGATCCTGTAGCGTATGCTCACATTTTGTGGCACACTTTCACATTTGAGATATGCTTACAATTGAGGTTTTGCATGGACACTCGAGCTTTGGTTGCATTCCAAGGGACACCCTCATTAGGTGATTACAATGGGTAACCCATGTTCTAAGGAACTGGTTCTTAACCAGCTGCCTTCTGGTACACTATCAGCCTTTATGTTTAAAAACTACAGAGAAAATTCCTGTGTCTAATTCCTGTGTCTATTTAAGGTTCTGGAAAAATTAACCTGGGTTGATTTAAAATGTGTTGACCACAATGGGGAACTTTCAGTATCCCCAAGCTAGTCTATTTAGGCATGCAATTAGAACAAAGAGGAATCTGGAGTTTTCAAAGACAGTGGAAGGCTTTCTTTAATCAGTACTTTGAAAACTCCAAATGCAATCAAGGATCTCTGCCTCCTTGAAAGAAACTAATTCTAAAATTAATCAACAAATCCAAAAACTTGAAAATCCTCCTAGCCCAGATCGTGCTCTCCCAAGTACTCTAAACCCTTCTCCCCCTCCTTTCACTCCCTCTGCATTGCTTCCACTTTATTCTCTGCCACCACCCTCTTTCTGAACTTCCCTTATTTCCCTCGCCTTCTATCCCAAGACCACCCTACATAGGCCTTCAACTCCTCTTATTGCCCCATTTAAAATAACTGAAAATGCAGTGAGGCTAAGGCAGAAGTATCACCTGAGTCCAGGAGTTCGAGGCCGAGGTGAGCTGTGATCATTGCACTCCAACCTGGATGACAGACCCCAACCCCCCCCCAAAAAAACCCTAAAACATCCTAAAATAACTGAAAATGCAGAAGTATGAGAAAGAGGTCCAACCATTTCTTATACTTCTTGATCCAAATCTGAACTCTTGGTCATTGTTAAAGATTTTCCTAGTCCTAAAACTAACTACCTTAAATCTGAACAACACTTTGATTTAAGCATAAGCACATACCAGCTGAGACTCCCTGACATCTACCAGTTAATTCATATGCTGGGGAGAATGTCCTGACTCAAGAATGGATGTGCCTGGCTGAGTGGATAAAACTTCTAGAGGACTTTATTTCGAAGAGAAAATGGCCACAACAAAAACAAAGAGAGTAACCACTGATTTGTTAAAGGCCATTTTAGTGTTTTCCCCACTAAATTAATTGGAAAGTCACTCAGTGATGTACTCAAAAGAAAGATATGTCTGTCTTAGATTATTCTGACCAATTTGAAAAGGCTTTCCAGCAAAAATCTGGTATCAATTACTTAATAGATGATACCATTAAACTTTTTTTTTTTTTTTTTTTTTAGTTGGAGTCTCACTCTGTCGCCCATACTGGAGTGCAGTGGCCGCTCCCGGCCACCGCAGCCTCGACCTGCTGGGCTCCAGCAATCCTTCCGCCTCAGCCTTCCGAGTAGCGGGAATTACAGGAATGCGCTACCATGCCCGGCTGATTTTTTTGATTTTTATTGTAGAGATGAGGTCTCGCCTGCCCAGGCAGGTCTCGAACCCGCGGGCTCAGGCAATCCAGTCACCTCAGCCTCCCAAAGGTGCGGGATTACAGGCTGAGCCACCGAGCCCGGCTCCATTAAACTTTTTGATTCCATTTTTCTTTCAGGGCTTAATGAAACTCTTAATGCCTTAGCCAAACATGACACTGACTGGACCCTGAGAGACCCCACAAAATTGCCTCCTTAGAAAACCATCTCTCTGCCTGAGCCCGTGGGTTCGAGACCCGCCTGGGCAGCGAGACCTCATCTCTACAATAAATCAAAAAATCAGCTGGGCGTGGTAGTGCATGCCTGTAATTCCGGCTACTTGGAAGGCTGAGGTGGAAGGATCGCTGGAGCCCAGCAGTTCGAGGCTGCGGTGGCTGGGAGCAGCCACTGCACTCCAGTCTGGGTGACAGAGTGAGACTCCAACTCAAAAAAAAAAAAGGAAAACCATCTCTCTAAAACTTTGGAAAGAGACGAAGAAAGCAGAATGTCAGACACGTGATTATCAGGAAAAGACCACCAAGCTCATGGGCCTG